TCCGTTCGAAATTTAATCGTTAATTATTCTCTCAATTTTGATGATATAAATCTATCCTTTAAATATGATACGCAATTTATTTTTGTCTTTAATATTATTTAGTACCGTTTTTAACGTTTACTTATTAAAATAAAAAGTTTTATATGTAGCAACGATCGATAATTATTTCTGATCAGTTTTACTAATTATAGTTATTACTTCATGGAGTAACCCGGAGCAACCCGGAACAACCCACGGAGCAACCTGCGGAGCAACCTGTGGAGCAACCCGCAGAGTACCAGTGATACATTTAACCCGGGTTGGGTTGGGTTGACCATTACTCCATTATAATATGAACTCAACCCAACCCATTATGTTCTATTAACAACCCTATCTACAAGTATTCTAAAAGCTAGCAAAAAGTGAGGAGAAAAAGGATAAAAGTAAGGGACAAGATAAATAAAGGTTTTTTTTAAAAAAAAAATTTTTGATTATTAAGTTATACAAACTTGCAGAATAATTGAGAAATTGTGGAATGATGAGAAATTACAGAATGATTGAAGAATTGTAGAATGATTGAGAAATTACAGAACAATTGAGAAATTGCAAAACAATTACGAAATTGTGAAACAATTGTAGAATTGCAGAACAATTGAGAATATATAGATTAATTGAGGATATACAGATTTTTATCACAATTCCATCTAAAAAATCTACAATATTGAGGATTTGAAAAAATAATTGAGGATACTATCTTTACTCAATGATGATAAAATTGAAAAACAATTAATAAATTGATGTTAAAAGTAATAATGAACTTGGAAAGATATTAGAATAAATTGGATGAAAGGTCTGATTCCTTTTCTAAAATAATTGAATCAATAATACCTTCTAAACCAACTAAACAACAGTCTTACCTTTGGGAAAGGACTATAAACTCCTTAAAAGAACCATTAAGTCAATTTACTAGTTTAATCTCAAGAGAACCAGGAACCACTGGTAACAACATATAAATGTAACTGACTTCTAATATATTGATTTTTATTCATAATAACAGAAGAAGAAACTAAACAAGAGAATATATGGAAGGATAGATAAATAATTAAATAAATAAATAACTATATATATAATAATATATAAAAGAATTAAAATAATAATAGTAAAATGATAATAATAAAGAAATAAAATAAAATTGAAAATATTGTCTATTGATTTTTATAAAAAAATCAAGAAATTTACTAAATATTACACAACTTATAATATTGTACGAAGGAATTTGGAAAGAATGAGAATAACAAATAATAAATAATGTGAAGAAAGTAGATCAGTAGTACAGAATATAGAGATATGATTTGTGAATAACTAATCTGTCGACCTGATGGATCATTTGTGATTTTACAGATGAACAAATTACTTTTTCTAAAATCTTCAGATAATCTGAATTGAATAATAAATAATTTGAATTATCCATTAAATCTATAGATTGATGATTTAATTTATAGATTAATGATTCAATTCGCGAATTGATAATTCAATCTGACTTACTCTTTTTTTACTTACTCTTTCCTTACTTATTTTTAAGTAATATGAGAAAACACTTACCTTCTTTTTCAAAGTTGGAATTGGGATATCATTTCCATGATATGTTAGATTCACGAAAATAGATAAGTATATTTATTATTAATTTTTAATATTTTTTTTTTAAAAAAAAAAATAAAAACAACTTATTTACCTCTTCTCTTACTTACTTTTAAATAAAATAAGAAAACACTTTCTTCTTTTTCAGAGTTGAGATCAGGAATATTATTTCCACAACATGTTAGATTCGTGAAAATGAATAAATATATTTATTATTAATTTTTAATCTTTTTTTTTTAAAAAAAAAAATAAAAACAACTTATTTACTTCTTTCCTTACTTACTTTTAAGTAAAATAAGAAAACACTTCTTTCTTTTTTAGAGTTGGAATTGGAAATGTTATTTCCATAATATGGTAGATTCGTGAAAATAGGTAAGTATATTTATTATTAATTTTTAATATTTTTTTTTTAAAAAAAAATAAAAACAACTTACTTATCTCTTCCCTTACTTACTCTTAAGTAAAATAATAAAACACTTTTTTCTTTCTTAAAATTGAGATCAGGAATATTATTCCTGCAGTATGTTAGATTTGCAAAAATAGGTAAGTATATTTATTATTAATTTTTTTTAATATTTTTTTTTTAAAAAAAAAAATAAAAACAACTTATCTCTTTTCTTATTTATACTTAAATTAAATAAGAAAGCACTTACTTTCTTTCTTAGAATTATGATCAGAATGTCATGAAAAGTGAGAATTGAGTAATAGTATAGAAACGAGAAAAGTGGGTAATAGTATAGAAACAAAAAAAGTAGGTAATAATAAAGAATTGGATAATATAGAAGTAGATAATAATAGAGAAGTGAATAATATAAAAACAAAAAAAGTGGATAATATAAAAGTGAAAAAGTGGGTTAATATAGAAATGGAAAAAGTGAATAATATAAAAGTGAGAAAAGTAAATAATATAGAAATGGGTAATAATAGAGAAGTAGGTAATATAGAGATGGAAAAAGTAGATAATATAGAAGTAGAAAAGAGGAAAAAGTGAATTAATATAGAAGTGAAAAAAATAGATAATATAGAAGTGGAAAAGTGAATTAATATAGAAACGAAAAAAGTGGATAATATAGAAGTGAATAATAATAGAGAATAGAAACAGGAAAAGTGAATAATATAAAAGTGAAAAAGTGAGTAATATAGAAATAGGTAATATAAAAATAGGAAAAGTAGGTAATAGAAGTGAAAAAGTATGTAGTATATACTTGCACACAAAATTATTTTGAAGTTCTAAAATTGCAATTTCAGAAAAAAAAAGTTAAAATAGTTTTTTATAGAAGACAAAATTATTTTATTTAAAACCAAAAATTTTTTGACCACTCAGATTTATTCTTTGATTGAATGTATACATAACTAGATATTTTTTTTACTTATATATATAGAATAGATTCTGCATAAATCTCAAAAAGTCAAAATACTTCAAAAATTCAAAATCAATTTTGAGAACATGTATAGTGTAGTATAGAATAAGAGAAGTGGATAATAAAAAAATGAGAAAAGTGAATAATATAGAAATAGAAGAGGTAGATAATATAGAAACAGGAAAAGTGGATAATATAGAAGTGGAAAAAGTGGATAATATAGAAGTGGAAAAAGTAAGTAATATAGAAGTGAGTAATAATAGAGAAGTAGGTTAATATAGAAATGGGAAAAGTGGGTAATATAGAAATAGAAAAAGTAGATAATATAGAAGTAGATAATAATAAAGAAGTGAGTTAATATAGAAATGGAAAAAGTGAATAATATAGAAGTGAAAAAAGTGAGTAATATAAAAGTGGGTAATAATAGAAAAGTGGGTAATATAGAAATGGAAAAAGTAGATAATAGAAGTGAAAAAAGTAGATAGTATAGAAATGGAGAATTGGATAATAAGAAAAGTAAATAATAGAAATGGAAAAGTGTAATATATAGAAGTAGTAATATAGAAATGGGAGAAGTGTTAATATAGAAATAGAAGAGGTGAGTAATATAGAAATGGGAGAAGTGGATAATATAGAAGTGGAAAATATAGAAATAGAAAAAGTATATAATATAGAAATAGAAAAAGTAGATAATATAAAAGTAGAAAAAGTGGGTAATAATAGAAATGTGATAATATAAAAATGGAAAAAGTAGGTAATATAAAAATGGTAATATAAATAGGAGAAGTAGAATAGAAATAGGAGAAATGTATGAATATAAATTAAAAAATAATTTATGAATTGAACAGATAATCCATAATGATACTACCTGTTGAAAGAGTGAGGAGACAAGTACAACAAGTACTTGAATTTAACCTGATAGTTATCAGTAAGTTTTGGAAGTATGAAAAGATAAATAATAATAAAGTACCTAATTTTTTATACTATAGAGCAATAAAGGCAAAAAAACTGAATAAAATAAAGAAGGGATAATTAAAGGAAGAATATTAAATATAGAGAAGAGAAAATATGATAAATTCTAATTTAAAGACAATAAAAAACAAAATGAAATAGTTTCACTAGAACTTTGTAAAGAGTTAAAGGATGAATGGGTTTAAAGAATGAAGAAAGTGAGTTCCAGCTAAGTCACATAACAGTTTGAATGAAAAATTAAAGATCAATAGTTTATTTTAAGACTTTGGATTATACAATATAAACTTTATTTATAATTTATAAACAAATGCAAGAAAAAAAATAAACATGTGTATAATTTATTTATAAATAAAATAAAGATTTTATTAAGAAAATAGAAAAAATACAAAAAGAAATAAAGAAAGTGAAAAAATCTATTCTGTGTTTACTCAAAAACTATTTAAAGGGTTAATCAAAATTCAGTAATCACTGATTGATTATTTGTTCTATATTGATTGATACTTAATTGTTCATTAATAATTGATCACTTGTTCATTGATTGATTGATACATAAGAAAAAAAAATTAAAGCTACTTTTATAGTTATTTCAATTCTATTCTAAAAATATAAATTAATCTATCAATTAATTACATGATGAAAGAAGAAAAAAGAAAGAAAATAATAAAATAGACTCAATTCCAGTCTTGCTTAGCTTCTTGGCTACTGTGGAGGTGGTAGCAGTTTAAAACATTTGCATCTTCACCTTGGTGAATGGTCTTTTGCTAGGAAGAGTGGTTACCATCTAAGTAAAATGGTAATTTCTGCAGTAATCCGTAGTAGACCGCAGCATCTGCAGTTTGCAGTATATCAGAAGTCATATAGTACATAACAGACACAGCCGAAAGAATTTATAAATATAGGAGAAAGAGAATAAAGAATCAAGATTTTTAAAACGAATTTGGAAAACAGAGAGATGGTGGAGAGGATAAAAATGAAGTGAGTAATATAATGTAAATGGATAAGTGAAAGTAAGTGGTAATAAGTATTAATAAGTAATATTAAGAAAAGAGAAAAATAAGTAGAAGGGGATGATGACAACTAAAAGGAAAATTATATAGGTGAAGATTAATGGTAATGGGATGTGATGGATAGGAACGAAAGTGAAAATGTAATGACAACGAAGAGGATAAAAAAAATAATAACAATGGATTGAACAGATGACTTGTGGATTGAACAGATGATCTATATAATCCGTGAATTAAATGAATAATCCGTGAATAATCCATGGATTAAAATACAGATTGACAGATCAGATGGATCATCTGAATTATATCACTAGTCCTTTTGCTTCAAAACCTTTTGAAATATTTCCAGTAATTGCTATTAATTTTAATACTGTTAGTAATTATTATTGAAATAAAATAATATACTGAATTGTTTATGTTGCTTAGTACCATTAGATAATTTTCAAGGAGATGACCTTTATTTTTCTTAACTTCACACTTTTGTATATTTCAACCTGGTTATTCTCTTCTTATTTTTTACTTCATAGTAACTTTCTTTTAATCCATGAAATTAAACATAGTATTATTTATTTTGTTCATAAGAATTTTTTTTATCCAGAAGACAATTTCAATAATATAAAAATTGATAATGCTAAATTAATTCAAAACCTTCACAATAATTCAAACTTAAATACTACAAGAAAGAGTTATCCTGTAGCTCTTTCTAAACAAAAAGATATGCCAGATGTCAATAATAATAAAAGACAAAAGCATATTGGTAAGTAAAATTAAGTAAAATATTTTATATAATTATAATTTATTAAAAAAACTCAAAATTAATTATTATAATTTATTTTATATTTGTTACATGCTCATAGAGGTTTAGGTGCCAAAGTTCCAATTCCAAATCAATAATTATAATAATATATTTTATTACAATTTGTATTATATTTAATATACTTGAGAAATAAATAAGTTTTTGAAAATTCTAAAATTTTATGAATAATAATTTTTGAAAGAGTTTGAAACAAGATCATTTAGTATAATTATTTAGTAGTAAATAAATAAGATCATTTTGTGTTACATAATAAAAAACTTTTTTATTTGAAAATTTTCAAAGTAAAAATTTCTGTGGAAATCTTCACTTTGAAAATTTTTGAAATGAAAACTTTCCGGAAATTTTTGCTTCTTAAAATTATCCATTTGTCTGAAAATTCAAGATAATAAATGTAATAAAAAAGAAATACAATAAAATATATTTGTTACCCATTTATCTTATGTACATTTGAAATAATTGAAATTATAAAAAAAAAATTCAAATATTTTTTAATATTTTTATTTTATTTAAAATAAAATAAAATATTATATTATTATCATCTGCTCTCATTATTATTATCAAAACAAAAAAAAAAGATACAAGCAAAAACTAAAAAAAAAAAATTTTTAAAAATAGTTTAAAAAAAAAGTTTAAAATTATATATATATATATGATACAACTTATAATTATTCATTGTCATTATCATAATCTTCTAAAGAAACTCCTAATGGTTCATCCGTTGCCACAGGACTATATTGATATCTATTTCTACTACCACCACCATTATTATTTCCTGGTAAAATTCTTGAAAATGCTCGAGAAACGGATCTAGGTACTCTTATTGAATAAATCATATCCATAAATAGGGATGGAATTGAAAGTATGAATGAAGTTGGGGAAGAATGATCTCCAAGACGGATTTGACTAAAAAAAAAAAAGAAATAATATGAATAAATGATGATATAACTTTTATATCTGTAAAAATATTTATACTAACCCCAACGGCGAGTAACCGAATCGATCTCGTCTTCTGTAAACATAGCACGCGGTAACAATTCCCACAATAATGAAAGGTGATAAAATTATCATAACCCATAAAAGAGTACTGCGACCAAGACCAGGACATTCGTGTTGAGTACCTAAGAATTTGGCTTCGTCACCTTTACAAGTGGAAAATGGTATTTTACGGAATCTAAATTATAATAATAATAATTTAATAATTCAATGATTAAGAATTATAATTAAAGAATATACTTTCAAACAATAAATTCATAATAATTTACTAGAAACATACCCATTTGTTTCGTAATAGAATTCTCCTCCATTATTAGCACATTGTTCTGCGATATTAGCTTGTAAAGGTTGGGCACCATCTACTATTTTACAGTTGTCGCCATCGCGAATAAAATTATAATCACTATTTTTTTTTTTTTTTAAAAAAAAAAAGAACAAACTTTATTTAACACCATGATGGAAAAATTATCGAGAAATTATTGGGCGATTGAAAAGGGATTATTATCACTCACCATTCAAAGTCGTGCGATGTACACACACAATTTTCCGTAATCTCTTTGTGGGAAATAATATCATCCCCAACTTGGCAATTTTTAGTAAGATTTCTTCGGTAATATTGTGTCTTTAGAATATAAAAAAATTTTAATGAATTTAATAATAATAATAATAATAATAATAATAAGTTTTTTAATTTATCAATATTTTATACCTTATGACCGAATAAACATTTCTCATTGTTAGGGTGGGTAGGTGACCATAATTCATAGTCATCATTATCTGGATCATTAATATTTAATATACCTAAATAAAATAATTAAGAAACAATTTAGAATTGAGAATTATCAATTGGCGAAGCATAAAGAAACATATTAATGACAAATAATTAAAAAAAAACATATATATGTGTATATATACAAACATTTTTCAGGTAATATTCCAGTAAAGTCAAGGAAAACAATAACTTCTTTATCGAAAGATCCCATATAACGACCACGTAAAATGAATTTACTACTCAGACCACCCGGCGAAGTAGCGATATCATGGAATTTAATTAGATTTTTGGATTCAGTTACTTGGTAATCAACCCAATTCAAACCTTCATTGAATGAATATCTAAATAATAATAATAAAAATAATAAATATATAAAAGAAAAAGAAAGAAAAAAAGAGAGAAAAGGAGAAACAAAATGAAAATTTGGGATAGTTTACAATATGTGATCTGTCGGGTTTTCATCATCTACCATTATCAAAATAGAACCTTGATCTCCAAAATCATACATATAAGCACCTTTCTTAATTTCATTCCAAGTTAAACCCGCGTCACGAGTTAAGAAAGTATCACCATCTAAATAATTAGTTAAATATTCTCCAACATTTCCTACACCCATCATTAATCCTGTAGCTGAAGAACTGCTGAAGGAATCACGAGGATCTCGTCGTTCGGTATAACTATGAAGATGTAAGTAACACTATATATAATACACATAGAAAATCATTTTATATTAATAAAAAATCCATCAATAAAATGAAAATGAAAATAAATAAATAATTTATAATTACATTGTTTCCACAATCGTACGTATTATTGTTAGAATCAAGGTTAGGACTAGTCAATGATTGCCATGTACCTCCTACAATAATATAAATATAAATATAAATAATAAAATAAGAAATAAGAAATAAATATAGAATGATTACTAAACATTTACTTACCATCATTAAATGTAATCTTTGACTGTAACTTTTTAGCCGATCCCATAATAACTTTTTGATAATTAAAAACCACATTTGCAATAGCGATCCCTTCGATACCTTGCATTTTTTCAAAATCCACAAAACCATAGTCGTCTCGATTAACTCTTTCCAATGATAAACCATAATAAGTTCCATTGGAATTTGATTTTAAGATATTTCCCCATAAAGTATGAGTTGTTTCAGTAACATGAAGTGCAATTGAGTGAGTGTTTGATTGTAAAATTGTAAAGGCGTTATGAGGTACCGCCAAACCGGGTGGGAATTGTGCTTCGGCAAAGGTTTCCCCGTTCACGGAAATATAAAGTTTTAGACTTTGACCGGATGGTAATAACTATTAAAAAACAAAAAAAAAATTTTAAACATGAATTTAATATAAAATAACATATAATAAATTTAGATATATTTATTAAAATATTGTTTACACTTACTTGAGCCACAACTACATATTCTTCGAACGAAGCAAATCCAACCACATTTTCAATTATACACTTTGGATCTTTGTATAAATCTTTTGAATAACAGAATCGAGGATTCTTAAAGGATGTTCTTTGTGAACCGGATTTTTCCTCATAGCTCTCACAAAATATAGCTTCACCATTAACTTTGAATTTTTCGTCTCTTGCCCAACTGCATACCCTAACGTATGTGTCTATAAGATCCCATTTTTCACCATTATTCTTTGTATAATATGCCTGGATAAAAATTAAAAAAATTAAAAAAATGCAAAATTAAAGAAAAATGAAATCAAAAAAGTTGAAAATGATTTGGAACACGTACTTCGGTGTGACACTTTGAAGAAAATAGTTCATCACAATCCTTGCAACCAGTGTAAATGAGCCATTCTTTATGCTCGGGATGGAAATCAAAAATTGGAATTTGAAGAGTATTAGGCCCCATCGGAACATCCATTTTTTTGAAAGTTGATCCTCCATCATTCGTATAAAAGTGGTAATTGCTCATCGTAATGAAATATGCCTAAAAAATGACCCGAAAATGATAAAAAATTCATGTTAAATAATTATTTGGTATCAAATCAAATAAATAAATAAATAAATAACAAATAAATAAAAATTTACATACAGAATCTTTGAAATATGCATTTTGGACCATTGTTACAATTGCATCATTTTCAAACTCCTTTACGGTATCCCAAGAAAATCCGGAATCTTTACTTTGCCAAACTTTATTGTCATCGGTACGAATAATAACTGTCTTGTTATCTTTGAAATAAAAGTAATCTTTTATTCGTGCATCGAATAATTTCTAAAAAAAGTAATTAATTAAAAAAAAAAGGAGTTCATTTTAAAATTTCAATTGATTTATTTGTTTATTATTATTTATTTTTTTTTTGAATTTAATTAAGGAAGGAAATAGTTGGTTTACCGTCGATTTAATTATTCCCGTACCTAAATTTAAATTTAAAAATGAAATATTATCGATTATGTATCAGAATGTGATATGTCAATTTTTCTTTTTATTATTATTATTTTTTTTACTTACTTGTAATGTTGCAAAATTTTGTTTCCTCTTTTTCTAAATCTATTCCACCTATACACTTTGTTTTATGAATCTTACGATATCCAGATTTACCTTTGTATTCACCATGACAATTAACGGGTCGATCTGGATCAGGACCTCGTAATACACATGATCCATTTTCACGAAAATAGTTGGCATCACTATAATAATAATAATAATAATAATAATAACAATAGGTAATCCCGAAAAAATATTTAGAAAATGATGACATTTTTTGTATTAAATAGAATGAATTAATTACCATTCAAAGTCATTCTTTTTACAATCACAAGTTTTTGTTTTAGGATTCAAATCCAAATTTGCACCACTAATTTTACATTCTCGATCAGCTTTACGTCTCCAATATTTCACCTAAAATTTTTAATAATAATAATAAAACAATAAATTAATAATAAATTTCAATATTTTAACATTACAATGATAAAATTACATTCAAAAAAAAAAAAAAATACGAAAACATGAAAATATGAATACTTAAGTTTTTACCTCTTCACCCAATAAACATTGGTTATCAGAACCTTCCATTGGATCCCATAATTCAAAATCATTACTTGAATCAGATGTGGAATCAGTGAAATAACCTATATTAAATTTATAAAATATATTATTAATTATAAAATATAAATAAATTAATAAATAAATAAATAAATAAACAAGCGAAGGAAGGAATATAAGAGTATTAAATAAAGTACGAACAATCTCTTTTTTCCAAATTTGTAAAGTCAACAGTAATAATTGTTGGTTCGTATTGACTTCCATCATTTGATACGATTGTTCCAGTTATTACAAATTTCATACTTGACAATTTAGGATTGGTCATAAGATTTAATACACGAACTGGTTTCTCATAAAATTTAAAATTTTCCCAATTCTTTCCGTAATTCCAACTAAACCTATTTATATTTTATTTTGAGAGAAATATATTTTGGAGGAGGAGGACAAAATATAAAATAGAATTGAAAGTTAATTAATTAACTTTAAAGTTTAATAAAAATATTTATTTAAGCAGTATACTTACTTAAGTTCATTGGTAGGTGATCCGTTGTCTATTACAACAATTATTGTGCCTTTATCTCCAAACTCATATAAACTTTGACCACTTTTTATTTTTTCCCAATTTCTTCCCGCGTCGCGACTCAAATAAGTATCAGATTGAGTAAAATCTTTTAAAGTATCACCAACATTACCTATTCCCAATATTAAACCGATAGCATTTGGTGAACTATAAATAGTTGAACCCCAATTAGCTTCAGTGCGACCATGTAAATTAAGGTAACATTCACTCTAAAGATAAACAAAAAGAAAATTATTAATATTAATTTCTCTCTCAAAAGATAAATAATAATAATAATAATAAGGAAATTGAAATAAATTAATTGAAAATTTTCATACATCTTGACAATTAGGTCTTATTTTTAAACGGTTCCAGGTGGATCCTTAAAATAATACAACATACAATTAAATTACTTTACTTTAAATAAAATAAATCTTTTACAGTTTTATTATTATTATTATTATTATTATTATTTATATATTCACCATCATCAAAACTTATCTCCGAAATTACTTTCTTTCCTTTACTTTTCACTTCGTCAATATTATTCACAATATTCGCCAATATTATTCCATCCATTCCTTGAACTTTTTCAAAATCTACATTTCCCAAACTATTACGATTGGTAGATTCCAAACTTAATGAAAAGAATGTTCCATTTTCATTTGATTTAAATAATGCACCATATTCTCCATTAATAACAAGTGACCTATACACATCAAGAAATATTGAACCAGTATTTGATTGAAGAAGAGTGTATGCCTAATCATCATCATTAAAGATATAATTAAATGATGAATTTAATGGTTTAAATATTGAAAGAAATGATGAATTTAATGGTTTAAATATTAAAAGAAATGATGTATTTAATGGTTTAAATATTAAAAAAAAATAATAAAATAAAAATTAACCTGTTTCTCTACATTGATATCTGGAGGGAATTGGGCTTCAGCGAAATTTTCACCATCTTTTGAAATGTACAAGATTAGCTGCCCATTTCTCTCCTTCGCAACCGCCAAGAATTCACTGAAAACAAAATATTCCACAATTTCTGACATCAACACTTTTTTGTTATTATTATTATGATTTATAGATATCAACTGTAATGGATTAGCTTCGGTTGAACCTATTAAACTATCTTGTCCATAAGGATAATCTTTATCTTTATAAGCAGAACAAAATATAACGGAATCATCCACTTCTTTAAAATCAACATCTTTTCCAAATATACATTTTTCCGCCCAAGTTTCAATTCCTTCACCCCATTCTTCACCATTATTTTCACTAACGTATACTTTGGTATGACACCTTGACTTTGGACATTCTCCTCCCGAAAATAATAACCAATCAGGTTTGGTAGGATGAAAATCAATAAGAGGACGACCAATTGTATTAGGTTCCAAAGGTAAATTTATTTCTTCACGAGTTTTACCACGATCAGAAGTATAATATAATTTTTTGGAATTTGTAAAGAAGAATGCCTGTTTACAAAGAAAATAAAAAATAAAACGTAGGTGACGAATAAAAAAAATTGAGACAAAAATAATAAATAAAATAAAATCATACTCTGGTGTTCACGTGATCATGTAAACGCATATAAATGATATTGTCATCCAAAAAGAGATTCCAATTGGTTCCATCATCATCACTTCGATAGATTTTGCCATCAATAGTCTTGGCCATAATAACCGTAGAATCAAGGAAATAAGAATAATAATCAAAACTGTAATGATTGGTCTTTGTAGTGATTTCTTTGGGTGTACTGTTAATAACATCCTCTAAAATAGATTGGAAAATTTAATTATTATTATATTATGAATTATTTTTAATCCGAAAACATAGAGAAAATAATTATTTTTGAATATATAAATATATCTCTTTATCAATCAATCTATTAATCAATCATATATCACCTTTAGTACACTCTTTTTCTTTGGGTTTTCCTAAATCTTCGGCATCATTCATATCACATTGATTTCCTGGAATTAACCTGTACCCGGAAGAAACTAAATATTTGTCTCCCTCCTTTTTACATACTCCGGGTTTAATATATTTCTCTTGGTCTATAACGCACTTATTATCTTTAAGAATATAGTTATAATCGCATTCAAAATCTTCTTCTGTACATCGGCAGTATTTTATTAAAACTTTTTGTTCTTGTTTTCCAACATAACATTCAGCATCTCTCTTTCTACGCTTATAGGTTACCTAAAAAAAAATTTTTTTGTTTGATAAAAAGGTCAGTAAAATCTATTGTAAAATATATCCAGGAAGTTTTTTTTTAATAAAAAAAAAAAAAAAACCACCGTTGTTCCCATTATACATTCTTGATTATGATCAGGCTTTTTCGGAGTCCATTCTTCAAAATCATTGTCTGTACATTCTTGATCATGTAATTTACTGAAATCAATTTTGAAAATAAAATGACGGTTTTTATTATTTTTATCACTTCCATGTGATACAAAAGAGCCTATAAGGATGAAACTTTGTGACTCCGATTTAGGATCTGACGTGAGCATTTTCGCTCGAATTGTTATACCCAGTTCATGTTTTATCCTGTATTATAATAATAATAATAATATTATTATTATTATTTATTATTAAATTAATTTTCTTTATAATAATAATAATAAATTGACAAAAAAATACTAACCAATTAGCTCCGTAATTATAACTATAATAAATGTAATTAGTGGGAACTTCATCATCTACCATAACAATTAAAGATCCCATATTTCCAAATTCATACATATGAGCTCCTTTCATAACAACTTCCCAATTAACTCCTCCATTAGTTGATAAAAAGGTGTCACATTGATCATAAGGTAAAAGATATGGACCAACATTTCCAACACCCATAAGAAATCCAGCAGCAGATTCTGAAGAATAAACGAATCCATAATTTATGAAAGAAGTTACCGAATGAAGGTGTAAAGAACATTCTCCTAATTTATTAGTATCACATGGGAAATTTTCTTCTTTATCTTTTAAAGGTGCTTTAATATATTTCCAAGATGATTTTGTACCATCTTCAAATGACATTTTTGAACGTATCTGTTTTGCTATGGCAGTTCCATCTTCTATCTCTTTCCAATTGTAAACAATATTCGCTAACATGGTTCCATTAAAACTTTGAACCTTTTCAAAATCCACATGACCTTCACTATCTCGATTTGTATGATCTAAACTACTAAGGAAATCATTTCCATCCGAATCTGAAATAAATAAGGATCCTGCATTGGTAAAACGAGAAGAAAGTACATCTATCACTAAATGATAACGAGAAGATTCTAGTACAGTATATCCATCTTGTTTTTCTTTAAGTACAGTATCTAAAGGAAAATTGGCTATTTCCCAATCTTTTTGATCTTTCGTCACATACATTTCTAAATCAAATGTTTTAACATTTTTAACAGCTGCTACCAAATATTCCTGAACAGCGGCCAAACCCACCACACCAAAGACATCATTCCCAGTATTAAAGTTTACTCTCTCAAAACTTTTAAAATAATCTTGAGATCTAACTAATTTAAAGTCACTAAATTTTCGCATAAGTCCATCGGATGTATCATATTTAATACAATAGATTTCTTCCAATGGTGACTCCTGTAAATATTGATTGGAACGTGACCATATGCATTTCTCGGTATTTTTTAAAAGAAGATTAGGAGATTTATCGAAACCATCTTTAGTATAATATGTCTATTTAATAAATGTTTAATAATGATGTTTAAATTAATTACTCTTTTTTTTCAACGCTTTATCGATAAATACTTTTAAATATTACAAATAATTTAAATTGAAATAAAACTTTATACCTCATCATTACACTCATATCCTTCATTTTCACATGATGTTCCTCTGAATAAAATCCATTTAGGTCTTTCTGCATGAAAAGATAAAATAATAGATCCTCTGGTTGGTGGAATTTGTGTGGTAAAAGGATTCCAAGTTTTACCTTTATCAACTGTCTTATAATGTTTTGTTCCCAATGTAAGAATGAAAACCTATATAATAATGATAAAAAATGTTTTAGTAAAAAATAAAATAAAATTTTTATTTTTTAACTTATTATTATTATTATTATTATTAAAACGTAAAAATCTATTTGTTACGATTATTGGGTTCATCACAGTAGCATCTTTTTTTTATTTTTTATTTTTTTTTTGTTTAGAAGAATAAAAATGAATAAAAAAAAAATGAATAAAAAATGAATAAAAAATGAATAAATAATAAAATAATTACTTGATCTTGATCGAATGGATGTTGAACCAAAGAATATGCTTGATTTTCTTCAACATCTGAAACCCTCTTCCAAGATTCGCCTTCATTTTCTGATCTATGAACGTTACCAGCGGAATCAAGAAGCATGACAACCTAAAAATATAGAGAATAATAAGTTGTTGAAATTCCAAATAATCATGACTGATTTTGTAAATATATTTTTTTTATAAAACAATATTTAGAAGGTAACTCACTCCGGATTCCTTTATATAGAAAAATTGAGTTGGGAAATACTCGAATTCGGAACGTTCATGTTCGACTTTAGATTCAACCACCAAAGGTATACATAAGACCAAAATGATCATACATAATAGTATTATTATATTTTCATTACATAGGGGCGGAAACCAACGATTGAATCGATTCTTTGTCATTATTATATCGATATTTACAAACAAAAGCTTTTGACACTGTGTTTGTAATGGTGATAATAATAATATATCCGGAACAATTTGAATTTCTCCATTTGGCGTTTATCATGTCATCGATTTGATAAAAAATCGATCGTTGTACAAATATTTATTACCCAGATTTCAAATATTTACTTTTATTACCTAACTTCGAAAAGGATGTCAAAGGAACAAATAAAATACCTTAAAAGTCTTAAAGCTATACGTGAACGTTCAAAAAAAGTTTATCAGAAGGCCGAGTCAAATTCATTAAACCATTTCCAAGTAGATCTTTCCAAACTTCAAAATTCTGTTGACGTCATAAACAAATTAATGAAACGAGATTATGAAAGTATTAAGGATATTCCGCCGCATGGTCGTTGGCGTCATTTTGATGTGGGAGGAAAGCCACGCGTACAACACCTGATTGAAAAAAAGTGGAAAAAGGAACAAGGTTGTGAAACGCGTGAAATTACTCGTCGACTTTTAGATTTGTTTGTGGTTTCTGTTTTGTTAGATGCAGGTGCGGGAAGCGCCTGGTCTTACAAAGAACCGGGTACCGGAGAGATTTATAATAGATCCGAAGGTTTGGCCATAGCTTCTTTGGATATGTTTATTTCGGGTATCTTTTCTAGTTCAACTTCACAACCATATCAAGTTGATGGTATGTTTTTATTACTTATTATTATTATTATTATTATTATTATTATTATTATTATTTATGATTATTTTTATTATTAATCTAATTTAATAATCTTTAAAATTATTTAGCCGACAAATTAATTAATATTAGTGTAAATGATGTACGTTTGGCCTTTCAAGTTAACGAGAATAATCCTTTAGAAGGTTTAGAAGGTCGAGCTAATTTGCTTAGTCGTTTAGGTTACGCGTTGAAAAACCATTTGGAATTCTTTAAGAGTGAAGAAAATTCAGTATGTACAATATATATCAAATATAATATAATATACGATATTTACATTATATTTATAAGATATTTATATTATTATTAAGTATTTAAGACCAGGAAACCTTTTAGATTATATTTTATCACAATCTACCATTGACCAAGATAAAAAAAATATTGTAAATATTAATACTTTATGGTCAGTAATTATTGATGGATTATCCGAAGTTTGGCCACCTACCAGAACAACTTTAAATGGTGTATCCCTGGGTGATGTTTGGTCATGTGAATTATTAGTTGAAACTAAAACTAATACAACAGTAGTAGATGAAGCAATAGATCCAACGAGCCACTTTATTCCATTTCATAAACTTTCACAATGGTTGGCTTATTCACTTATTGAACCATTATCAAAAGTTTCTGAAATAAATTTTGAAGGAATAGAAAATTTAACTGGATTACCAGAATATAGAAATGGTAAAAAAAAAAAAATAATAATATGTTTTTAGTCTTTATTTCTTTTTATTAAAACTTTCTTTATATAATTTTTAGGTGGTCTTTTTGTTGATACTGGAGTTTTAACTTTGAAAGAAAATGATTATGATCGTGGTATTAAATACTTTAGAGAAAATAGTAAGAATAATAATAATAATAATAATAATGAAATTGTACCAATGTTTGAAATTGATGATCCAGTAATTATTGAATGGAGATCTATGACTTTAATACTTTTGGATATTGTGGCAGAAAGGATTCGAGATAGTTTAGGACTTTCTCCTGAACAATTATCTTTAGCTCAAGTTTTAGAGGCCGGCACTTGGAAGGTTGGTAAAAAAAGTTTTTATCATTTATAAGAATTTAAAATCGAGTTTTGATTTTTTTTTATAGAGTTTATCGAATTTATTGATATTATTTTTAAATATTAGGCTGGTCGAGAGATTGCAGCTACCAAACGTCCAATTAGCAAAGGACCACCTATTGCCATCAAGTCTGATGGGACAGTTTTTTAATATTTTGTTGTATAACTAAATATTTGTATTTATATTTTATTTTAATTTTTTTTTTTTGTAATATTAATATTTAACATTAAGTAAATTTAATTTTATTAATACAATATTCATCCCATTAATAATAGATTTTTAGTTCATGCTTTGATAAAACATTATTTAATTAATTAACAAAAAAAAAATAAATAAATAAATATATTTATATATGTTATCAAAAAAAGTCAATAAAAAACACGCTAATCTATTAATGGCGAATGTTTGATATATTAAGCAAAAACGTTTTGCTCTATCACATGAACGTGCATAATTCATAATTAAAAAATATAATGAAAAATATATAGTTAAAATGTAAATATAATTTAAAGTTTCGTATAAAGTTTGTGTAATGTGTTACCTTTTACGTTATTGATATACATATATATAAAGTAATTTTTATGTAAATTGTACGATGTAAAAGTAACATTATGTAAAGTAATGTAAAATCACGTAAAAGTATAATTTATGGAAGATTCCGTAAATTGAATGCACACAATAATTCCATTTACATAAAAACGGTATAAATATTATATAATAAAAAACGTGCTCCCAAGTGTTATTATTTTATTAAAAAAAAAAAAAATTGTTGATCATTTCTAAACTTTTTCAAAAACAGATCTATGATCAAAAAAAATCTTTTTCGCCTCATCATCATCATTAACACAACAACTTCCTTCTTTTTTTTCAATTTATATACATAAAATATGTATATATATTTAATATATGTTTTACAAAAATAAAATACAAAAGTAAAAATCCAACGATAGAATCTAACGATAAAAATTAAGAGTAATAACAAATATAACAAATATAATAACTAAGCAATATAATAACAAATCAACAAACAACAAACATTTAGACACTAATTGCAATTTAATACAAAATTCAATATAAATTCAATACATTTTGATACGAATATTTTTTTAGCACAAATTAAATCAATTAAATACGAATTAATTAGAAATATGAAAATTTTCGAAGCAACACATACATTTTTCTATTCATGGTCACACGTTTCAGCAGCGAATTGGAGAAAATATCCCAATGATAAATGTCCGCACGTTATCGCAATCGATGTGTTAGATCGACATGTTGACCCGGTAACGGGAGTACTTCGAACTGAAAGATTAATAACATGTCAACAGAATATACCAAAATTATTATGTAAATTATTTGGAGGTTCAACTGTTACTTATGCCAGAGAAATAAGTGAAATTGATCCCAAGAATGGAGTTTTAAAGATGACCAGTTGTAATTTATCTATGAATCATTTGGTTAATGTATCAGAAACTGTGATTTATACTGAGGACCCTTCGGATTCATCCAGGTAAAAAATATTTAAAAAAAATTGTTTGAAATGTTTTTTTTTTTTGGGGAGGGATGGTTTAAAATATTTAAATATATATATATATTTTTTGGATGTTAAATTATCTAAAATATTTAAAATATTTAAAATATTTAAGGGATTCCTAAAAAAATGCCTAAGAATATTATTTAAAATGTCTAAAAAAATATTTAAATTATTTAAACCATTTTAAAATGTATAAAAATTTTTAAAATTTTGAAAATGTTTTTTTTTTTTTGGTAACTTATAATACAAAAAAAAAAAAAAACTATTCTTATTTAATTATTTCTTTAATTCATTTTTAATAGAACTTTATTTAAACAAGAAGCTCGTATCAAATGTGGAGAATCCATTTCTAAATTTGCTAATTACATTGAATCATTCTTTGTTCAAAGATTTGGAGATAATTCTACCAAAGGAAGGCAAGGACTGGAGATTGTCTTGGATCGATTAATGGGACAAGGAGAAATACTTCAAAAAAATTAGATAGATAGATATATAATTTAGATAATTAAAATAATTTCCTAATAAATAATAATTAATCAGTTAAATAATTAATTAGTGGTAAAAAAAGATAGTAGTAATATTATAATTAAACAAATCAATTATCATCAATCATAGTAAAAAAATAGCATTTAGAAAAACAAAAAATCATTAAAAATTATAATTTATATAAAGAATTTTGATCAACAATTTGTTTTTTAATAGATTTTTTTAAAGTATTGAATTGAGAGAATTGTGTAAATGAATGAATGAATGAATTAATAAATGACAAAGATGAAATAAATCAAATAATTAAATAAATAACTATAAATTATTTATTTGCTAAATTAATAAAAGATTGTTCATCAATAGAATAAAATTTCATATAATCAATTTCTAAAATATGAAGTTTTTTACCAATAATAATTAAAGAATGTAAAGGTGGACCAAAATCTTGATTTGATAATTGAGTTAATGTACCAACTTTAATTTGTTAATCCGTAGTTGATCCAAGACGAGCAATTCCGATTGCTAATGATTCGGGAGTTATTACTAAATAATAATAACCACACACACATACACAAAATGTTGATATGTAAATGTTGATACAAATGTAAATATAATTAAATTAAAATCATGAATTAAAAGTTATTATTAAAAACCTTGTTTTTTATGAATTTCTTCAATTTCTAAAAGTTGTTGAATTGCTTGATTTACTGTCATAAATCGAGGTGGTTCATATATTTTTCTACCCCTTTTATATTTTAAATAATTAATTATTTTGTTAAACTGATTAAAAATTAAATTAATAAATGATTGTTTAAAATTAATTAATTGTAATTATTAAATTTATTAAAATGATTATTAAATTAATTAATCGTTTACCTTGCTAAATTTTCATTACTTTGTTCTTTCACTTTGATATCTATTAAATATATAATATTAAATATATAAATAATAAATATATAAATAATAAATATATAAATAATAATTAATTAACCTGCATTAAATATATATATATATATATATATATTATGTAATAAGCTACATTAAACCATACATATTAAACTATATAAATTACCTAATAAACATAAAGTATGTAACTCCAAACTTTTATTTTCTTTAATCTTATCATAAAAACTATCGGGTTTCCAAATATCCGTGAAAAATGGTATAGAAATAGTTCGTCCAAAATTATAAAGTTGTAATCCACATTCTCCAATTGCATTCATTATAGATGAATTATGAATTATTGTAATCGAAATATTTAATTCTCGTGCTCGTATAACTAAATCTGTGTGCGTGGTTGCTCTTTTATTTTAATTTGATTAAATTAAGAATGATTTAATTTAATAGATTTTGATTAATATTCAATTTTAATTAATTAATCTTAATTATTTAGAACTCACCCGAAAGGATCACCGACTACTAGAAAAGCTACATTGATTACATCTGCATTTAATAAAATTTCATCACTTTGAGATTCTACCATTTCTCTATCGGCAAGAATTAATTTTTTATCATAAAACTCTTCCTTAATTAATTAATTATTTAAATATTTAAAATATTAAATAGCAATTATTATAGTTATTATTTTTATTTTGATGATGATGATGATGATTATTATTATTATTATTATTATTATTATTACTACTATTATTATTATTATTATTATTATTTTTAGAAAAAAAGAAAAAAAAAAATAGAGATATATTGTTACCAATTTTTCTCGAGAAATCATTAATATACTAGTATAAGATTCCAAATATACTCTTTCACAAGATTTGATTGCATTTAAACCTTTAACTGTTATATCTGTTTCATCACATAATCCTAATCCTATTATATAAAGCATTTTTTTTTTAATTCGAGTTGATGAAAATTGTTCAAATTTATATTTTTTTTTAAATGTTGTAATACCATAAATGCTTGTTTAGGTAATACTGATCAATAAATTGAATAATTCTATTTTTTAAATCGCTTTTCCTAATAAGACAAACACTTTAAGGGTGATGTATAAGTTATTTAATTTCCACATCAAAATGACATGCATGATTATGTGTATATATAGTCTGAAGTAAAGTTTCGTTTTTGAGAACCCAGAAGTTTTTAAATCATTGGATCAGATTGTATTTAAAGATTTAAAATATGATCTAATAATTTATTTAACTTTATTTTGGCACAATAAATGTTTTTGCTTTAATATTATAATTGACAAATTGTAATTATATAATCTTTGTATTTAATTGTAAACTATTAGATTTTGATAAATATTATAACTGTGAAAACGAACATCAATTTTAATATTGTATATTTTAAATCCAATTAAAATTAAATTTATATAATTGTGATTTGAAAGAAATACTAATTCAATCGATTTATTTAATTTTGTAAAAATATATATATTATCACAGTTAAGTTCAATAATCGTGCATACATAATTATGTATTTTAATGTATATATGGTGCCGGAAGTCTATACTCGACAATAAAATTGCATCACTTTAAAACCTATCAACTTCTTAAAAAGGAAAAATCTAAAAAAAGTAAACCGGTAACTTTCTTCTTCGGGACATAATCTATCAAATTACCGGTCAGATTTTTGATAAAATGCCTATATAAAAAGTTATAAGCGTTTAAAATTTTATGATTTTGAAACAACTTTTAGTCATGTGGAAATAATTCCATTGGTCAGAATTTCTAATAATTGGTTAGTTCGATATCAAAATTAGTCCAAGTTTTAATTAACTCTAATATGCCCCCTAAAACAAAAAGGAAAAAACAGGTAGACAAGTTATCCAGAAAAAACGGCTACTATATACTTCAAGAGTTAGTTATAGAGACCCTTACAGATTTTGAGTTTGAAGAATGTATGGTTACTGAATGTGAAACTGATAATTATTAGACTGAAAAGGACTTACAAGAATTTGAAGAAACAGAAAACAGGCTTATTACCAAAGTTCTTCATTGGCATAAGGATGGTGCAAATAGTATTAGAGCTGTATATACTGGAACTTCAAGAACTACAGCCTGGAGACACAAAAATAAAAAGAAAGAATTAGAAAATGAGATGAAGGAAATGAAAATGCTAAATACATTCTTTGAAAATACCAAAACATTGTCTTCACCACTACAACCATTTTTAAAATCATTATCTTCATCTCTATCTTTTGATGATTCTTTAATTTCCACTGAGATTACAAAAAATTTACAAATTTGTTTAAAAGAAATAAATCAATGATGTTTAATATCAAAATCCATTAAATCAAATTACAATGTCTTATGATTATTTATATTGTTTAAGTATTCATAAATATATAGAGTTATTATTAGATGGACAAGGTAAAATGGATGCTAGTAATCAGATTGCATACATTATATGGAAAAAGGTAATTATATGTCAAGATGTATTTAAAAATGGGGATCCTATTTTATATAAACAGAAGATTTCTCATCTATAATCAAGGAAAACATACAAAATTAAAAAGTTTATTGGACGAAAAAGATTTTAAAGAAGATTGTCAATCATGGTTATACCAACAAAAACCAGAATTATGTTTTTCCAAAAATTTGAAAGTTTATATTGAAGAAACTTTATTTCCTAAATTAACTGGCCATATTAAAAGAAACATAATTTCTGAAAAAACCTGCTGAAACTATATACATTTGTAGAGATATAAATATGATGGGAAAAAAAAGAGTTTACTATAATAGGCATAAATGATCAGATGTAGTGGAATATAAAAAGAAGTGGATAAAAAGGATGTTTGAGTATTAGAAATCTATGAAAAATTTTAATGATAATATGATAAATATTATTTTAGAACCTTAACTTAAACCAGAAAAAAAGAATTAATTCAAGTAACACACAATGAATGCTATTTTTATATAAATGATGGTTTACAAAAATTTGAATAAGAAGTGATGAAGATATTCTATGTTCAAAATATATAGGATATTCCATTATGGTTTTAGCTTTTCTTTATATATGTCATGAATTATTACAATTATTCAATAAACAATTACAAAAAAATTCACAGATTGAAAATAGAGAAGTTTTTGTTCTTCATTCTATACAAACAAATAGATATTAAAAATCTGAGCATATGTTAGATCAAATATATTTTTTTTTATTTAAAAATATAAGATTAGTATTTAAAAATCTAATAATTAATTTTTTTAAATTAAAATATAACTTGTACACCAAGCAATTCCAATTTTCAAGATCTTGCATCCTGGTTGTATAGGAGTTTTTTGTTTTGATCAATTCACAAATCATAATATAATGGCAGATGATGTATTAATTGTCACAAGAATCACTGGTCGAAAATTGATAAAACATACACATATCGGGTACCCGATATGTGTATGTTTTATCAATTTTCGACCAGTGAGCTTCAGCACTAGCTGTAGAGAGAGCTCGGGCTTCAGGCCACTTAGTTAAATAATCGATTGCTACTACAATGTATCTATTTCCTCGTGCCGTTCGAGGTAAAGGTTCAACTATATCAATACCTATTCGTTCAAATAGTTATTCCACAGGAATAAGATGTAAAGGCTCAGTTCGTATTGGTCGTCCAAACCTTTGACAATTATCACAAGTAGATACATAAGTTTTAATGTCCTTATACATTTGAGGCCAATAATATTTATCTTTTGGTCGTTGAAATGTTGCGTCAGTTCCCAAGTGTCCTGAGGTAGGATGACTGTGCATTATATTAAGTAGAGGTTCCAATTCTCCTCTGGTTATTACTTTTATTAATTGGATATTTGGCTTTTGGGACTTTTTAAATAACTGATTATTTGAAATTGTAAAATATTGAGATTGAGAAAGTAATTGTTTACGATTATGTGGTGAAATATTTAGGAGGTATTGTTGAGTGTTTAAATAAGAATATATATTTTGATATTAGTTAAATCCATTTTAGCTAGGACACCGACTACCTAGACTGTATTGAGTTTAACGTCAAAATTTCAATAAATTTTATAATTTGCAAAAATTAAATCCTGGACAAGGCATCTGCATTTTTATTTTCCTTTTCAGGTCTGTGTTTAATTTCAAAATCATAAGTTTGTAAACGTAACATCTATCGAGCTCGTTGTCCTTTTAAGGAACTTGTTCGTAACCAGGTAAGTGCAAAATAATCAGTGAGAATAACAAAAGGTTTTATTCCCAAATAGTGATGAAAATGCTCAACAGCTCAGATTACTGCCAAACATTTCAATTCGGTTGCAGAGTAATTTTTTTGTACGTCTTGTAGACTTCTACTGGCATAAGCAATGACTTGTTCCAAATTATTTTCATTTAATTGGGTTAGGACTGCACCAAGTCCTTTAGCAGATCCGTCGGTTAATAAATAAAATATTTTAGAGAAATCAGAGTGTGCAAGTATAGGAGAAGTGGTTAATTTTTCCTTTAAGATTTCAAATGCACGTTGGTGCTCACTTTTCTATTTAAAGATTTCATCCTTTCGAGTTAGTTGGTGTAGAAGTTGAGCAATTTGAGAAAAGTCCTTTATAAATTTGCGATAATAGGAAGCTAATCCCAAAAAACTTCGTACTTTGGTAATATCCTTAAGTCGAGGGAAATTTTGAACTTTATCAATTTTTGCAGGGTCAGTAGAGATTCCTTGGTCACTGACAATATGTCCAAGAAATTCAATTTGTCGTTGTAGGAAGTAACATTTATCAGGTCCTAGTTTAAGTCCTGCGGCTCGTAATCAGTTCAATACTTCATTTAATTTTAATAAATGTTCATCAAATGTTTTGGAATAGATATTGATATCATCCAGGTATACAATGACACCTTTATATAATAACCCATTAAAGACTTGATTCATAAGTCATTGGAAAGTTGCAGGGGCATTGGTAAGTCCAGAGGGCATTACAGTGAACTCATACGTTCCTTGTTAAACAATAAAAGCAGTTTTCTCTTGGTCACTAGAGTTCATTTCAACTTGCCAATATCTACTAGCTAAGTCGAGAGTAGTGAACCATTTTGCTCCTTGCATAGCACTTAACATGTCATCTACTCGAGAGATGGGATAAGCATCCTTTTTGGTAATAGCATTAATCTTTCTATAATCAACACAAAGTCGTTGTTTCCTATTTTCTTTTTACAACAACTACAGGAGAGGCCCAGGGGCTAAAAGATTTTACAATTAGTTCCTTTTGCAGTAGTTGCTTGATTTCTTCTTCGAGAAATTTTTCCTCTACAGGATTAGTTCGATAAAACCTTTGTTTAATAGGGGATTCGTCATCAGTATTAATTTGATATTGAATTATATTAGTTCGTCCCAACTGACTAAAATCATTTGCAAACAAATCCTTATTTTTATTAATGAGTTCATCAAATTTTTCTTTTTGTTTGGGACTCAATTTTCCAATATTTAATTCGACTTTAGCCAAGGAGTCTCCCATCATTACAAGAACTTTCTCTAGGCCATCATCATCATTTTCATTATTGTTATCATCATCAGTTTCAGTATCAATGCTGTCACTGATTTCTTCGTCAGTTGATTCATTGTCAACTTCACTATCCTTTTTATTTATCTCAGAGGCTAATTCCTCATCAGTATATTTCACACAATCCTCAAAAATATCATAATCATTGTCATCAATATCACTATCGTCATCAGAAGTACTTCCTTCTGATTCAATTTCACTTTCATGTTCACTTTCATGTTCACTTTCAGAAGAGTTACTGTTCTCATCACTAGTGGTTTTAGGAGTTTCTATAATATTTCCTTTCACACAGGAGGCAAGTAGAGTTAAATATTTATTCCTCTATTTTAAGGTTAATTCCTGGTCTTGCCAATTGTAATTACAATTAGCCTTTAAAAGTCAATTGTTTCCTAGTATAATGTTGTAAGTAGTAGATTTAGTTACTTCAACATCAATAGGAATAGTATATCCTCCTACGGTTACAGGGAAATCGCGGATAACTCCCAAGGGTCGAGTGTTTTTTCCTACAGCTGGTAGAATTATACTGTTGGAGGGTTCATCTACAGAGTATCCCAATTGTTCCATGGTATTCTCAGTAATCATACTTACTGCAGCACCACTATCAACAATAGTGAGTACAGAGTATTCATCGATATGGACAGTACATTTAAGTGAAGTTACCTGAGGTTGGTATTCCTGAGTAGTAGTTTTACCATCAACTTTTCGAGGGACTTTTAAGTTTTGTAACAAAGCTCACTTCATTTCAGAAAATTGGAATAATTGTGACCAAGTAATTCCAGTTTCTTGTTTTTGCATTTGTTCGACAATGTCAAATTCCTTAGTGCACAATAGACAGGGTACTTCCTTGTTTTCTTTTTTTGTAAGTTTTCCCTTTGACTTTTTCTTTTTGGAGTCCTTTTTCAATTCAGTTT